GGTTTTGGTTTTTTTTTTTAAGTTTTAATAAGGACTGTGACTGTGGCATATATATTAAATGAAGAGAGACCAATTTCTTCGTCACATTTCTTCTGCAGGAAATGCAACATTGTATTGCAATGAAAAGAAAGATGTGCATAAGCGCTACTCACATCTTACTTCCACTGGATTTACAGCAGAGGAAAGGGAAGGAAATCCATTACAGGGAACATTTTTTTTTTTTTTTTATTTTTTTCTTGCAGAAGAGTATATTGACCCCTCTGAAAGTTTTTTTGAGAATTTGCTCTAAAGGCTGTCAGTGAAGGATAGGTATTTAAAATTGGTCACTTTCATCCTTTTCCAGTTTAAATGGAGGACAGCCATAGGGATTCCTGATAGGGAATCTATGAGTAATACGGTGGAGTGTGGATGAGCAGATTTAACTTATATAGGAAAGGCAGAATCTTTTGCAGGTTTGTAGGCTGTGATAGTCCCATTAATGCAGGAATGCCTACTGGGAATCTGATTCCAAAGAAGCATGTGCAGGACCAGTTGTTTTTGTGAACAAAGCAATAAAGGTGTCAATAATTGAACAGAAGATGTAATCATCTCTTACAATAGCTGCAGAATAATACTGAACTTGAGGTTATTGGGTATTAGAAACCTTATATTAGTAGAAGCCTCTTTTTTGCTCAGAGCTTGTGGCAATACACAGTATTCAGACAGCTTATTTGTATTTATCTTTAAGAAGTGTAATTATAATCACTTTAACATAATCAATAAGCAACAGCATAAACTAATTTATTAGTGAATCTCCATAAAATTAACTACTAACATCCTTATTTAATATGTTACAACATATTGTATTATATTATATCATACATAACATATGTAGGTCCTGTGTTCCAGGATCACCAGCAGTTAAATCTTCTCTACTAATAACATTCTCAAAAAGAAAATATATGTAAAAATGAGGCAATGGGTTTATCTTTTCCTGAAAATGCATGTCTTGACATTCCTTTGAATTTGTGTAGTCCATCTACTGAAAGATAAATATAAGATATATTATATAAGATATAATCTTATTTTGCAAATTATCACTTAAATGTACATGGGTTATTTTGGCTTATGCAGTGGGGAAGATATTAAATGGAAATATCTCGAGTCATTGGAAATTTTGTCTGTGTTCTAGAAACAGTGCTATCCAGAAATATACTTATTCATTTCTTTCTTCATTTTCAGTTCACATGATCATAGAATGATTTGGGTTGGAAGGTGCCTCAAGGATAACCTGGTTTCAAGCTCCCAGCCATGGGCAGGTGCACCTTCCACTATTGCTCAAACCCCCATCTGACCCATCACTGACTGCTACCAGGGATGGTACATCCACAGCCACCTCTTAGAGTGTCCCACATCCCTCACAGTAAAGAACTTCTTCCTAATACGTAATCCAAACCTATCCTCTTATTCTCTAAAGACATTCTAACTTGTCCTGTTGCTAGATGTCCTTGTGAAAAATCCCTCTCCAGCTTTATTTTAGTGCCTCTCTTTAGGTATTGGAATGCTGCTATAAGGTATTCCTTGAGCCTTCTCTTTTTCAGGTCGAAAAATCCCAAAAGATAAGGTGAAATTTCACTGAAAAAAAATTGCTGTATTTTCTAGAAGCATATATTTGATAGTTTGTTTTGAAATCAAACCTGACACGACTTATCTCTGAATCCAAGTCTTAGCAAACTTAAGGAATCTTTTTAAGTGCTCAGACATCTTCACTTATGGATCCACATTTCTTGCTTTTCTCCTTTTTTAGTTTTTTGTTGTTGTTGTTGTTGTTTTGGTTTTTTTTTTGACAAATTGAGATAGATTTTTAGTGTGCATTATTGTTAGTGAATTCAGATGAAACCAGAGAGTAGTCCTTTCCCTCTTGGCATTGGAATAGTTTGATCCTAGTCTGGGCCTGATATTTTGGATTATTCAAACTCAAATGTAAGGGGCATAAAATGAAAGGCATATGGAAGCAGGGGAAAATGTGAAGTTCAAAAAGCAGGATGCAGGATGGTTTAGGGCTGTAGAGTACCCCTTTCTTCTTCTTTAAAAGTGCTGTTTTTCTGTTGTGGTTTTCTTTTAAAGATCTCTTGACGCTTCTTCCACAAAGAAAAAAGTTTTGATATAATTTGAAACAGCTTGGAGACAATACATATTTATTGAAGAATTTGTTAAACAATTTATTGATTTGTTGATTTCTGAAAGTGCAAAGTTTTACATAGATACTATTTTACAGTTGATTCAATCTTATGCAGTGTATGATACTTCCCTTCCTTTTGGAGAATATATTGTATAAAAGTGTGGTTTTTTGTATGCCATAGACTTGTGTAAGCAATGAAGAAAAAATGGATTTTGTAATGATCACATTGTCTATAAATCAGCTGCTCCAGATACCCATGTCCCTATTTGCATAATTCTGTGGACTTTCTTCACTGTTTGAGGTTGCTCATCCTGTCATATGCAATACTAACATTGGGTCTTCTATAACTTCTGCTCCAAGACACATCTCTCTTAGCTTCTGCTGACACAGTATGGTTCAGACTGTCTTGGGTTTTTCAGGAGGAGCCTTTAATAAGCAAGGCAGTGCCAATATAGTCATAAAATCTTTCTCACTAGAATTGGAGAAGGGGACTTCAGTCAGTAATTTTCAACAAGGATTGAGACATAGTTATCAAACAAAATAAGATGAAGAATTTTGGCACAGGATCTCTGAGCTCTCACCTGACATTGGTATAAGAAGTCACTGCTTCTAACTGAAAAGTAATTTAACATCTTTCCCTAGAGTAAAATATGCTAACTACATTCACCAGTAAGCCTGCAAAAGGCACTGCTTAATACTAAGAAATCGATTTTGCACAAATGCAAAATCTCTTCTACTATTCTAAAATACTTATTAACACAACAGGAAGAAGTTAGCCTGATATGCAGAAGACAAGCACAATGCTGTGATCAGTTACTTGTTAATAAAACACTTGTTTGGAATGAGAATCAAGTTCTTAAAGGCTTTGTTCTGGCTGAACAAGGTGAATTTTGCTTCTAGCTGATGATATGTATGCCTCATTCACCCTCTGGAGTCTCAGTTTATACATTTTATATATAAAAGCATCAGATCTGGGTTAATGACTGGGTGTCACTCTACTCAACACAAAACAACTAAACGTGCTGTCTTGGCTCTCCCTCTTGGAAGTGAAAATCAGCTTGTCCAGGGCACCTCAGCTGGATTATTTCTGCAATAATGAAAGAATTAATCTTGGAAGACTGTGTGGGTATTTTGATTAAGTTAGGGGCCTCACATAAAATATTAGATGATGTGAATAATCTTATTAATATTTCATCATTAAGATAATAAACATATGCCATTCCTGGCACTGTAGGAATTTTTGCAGTATAATAAAATACAGCTAGCTGCTGGGCTTGAGCCCAGTGGTAATTGATACCTGTGATTCATAACTAAATGTTATAGCTAATTTCTTTGGTCAGGACAGTGCTCATTCAGCATAACATCTAGCCTGTAAAAAGATGAGAAAAAAGTATTCTGAAAAATGAGTGTGACAAAGAACTAGATACAACTTCATTAAACTGTCTCAAAAATTCAACATTAATTTGGCCTAATATAGAAAAAGCATTTAAATTCATTGCTTCTAAATATTTTATATGCTTCTAATAATCTAATCTACAAATACATACTGTGCAGTGCCACCTCGTTCACCTAAATACATTCACAGAAACATGATCCTTTTCTTTTTATTTTCTACCTTCCTATTTTTTTTATTCCTTTCTATTTTTATAGAATGTGCTGGTGCCCTCTTTTCCTGAAGCAAAACTGATTAGAGCTGCTCTAGAGAGATTGCTGCAAACTTTCATTTTAGTTAAAACATTTTTTTCTTCTCTTTAGTATACACATCATTTGCACTATATAATTTCCTCTATGTCCAGTTAAGTTTGTGTTGTGGTGGTCTTCATAGATTATGTTAGAAAAAGAAAGATTTAGCCTCATTTGGATCTGTTCTTAAGATCACCAAAATCATAAGGGAAGGCTGCCAGTGACGTGAATTGGCTTTGGACCAGTCCCTATGGCAGAAAATTATTGTTTCATTATGTCAGGGTTTTTTTTCAGATCAGTAAAATACTCTTATCTCTACTTTCTCTACTGTTTGGGATTTCAGAACCTGAAAATTATTTAAACATTTGAAGACTTTCTTCTGCTGTATTGGTAAAGTTTATTGCTGCATTCCTTTTGGCATCATTAATTGAGACCTCTATTGATGTTAATTTCAAAGTTCTTGGGCGTTTAACTGGTCCTGAATGGTTAAATTTCAAAGCAAATGTTTATCAATTAACATTCTGTCAAGATTCTGCTTCTGGAATTTGGCAGCCACCTTCCTACTATACTAACAAGGAAATGCATAGTCATTAGGGTGGTTATTTTTTTTAATATTTAAACTTTGTCTTTAAGAGATTTTTCTTGTAATATTATTCCTTCTGACCCACTGCTTAGCAGGTAATTGCTACCTCACTTTACAAATTCCCATTTTAAAGTGCTCCTCCCCTTCCTGAATCCCAGGCAAAGCCCAGAAGGTTGTTGGGTTTTGAAGAGACGAGACAATAATAATCTGGGGAAAACTGGCACAGAGAAGATATAGAATATGCAGCCATTTTTGGGGCACCTAAGATCTCATGTTTCTGGGCAAATATCAAACAAATCCAGGACTTTTATTTTCAACTGACAGTATTGTGTGGTGAATTGCAGATTTTTTTTTTTAATGTTGCATATCCTGTAATAGATTTAAGGTTTTGCACTAATCTTCATAGTTCCTCCCTCCTCTTTATGTATTAGCAAAAGTGCGCATGACTGTCTCTGCTCAGTACTGATCTCCAGCAGTGTGAAATTTGGATTCAGCCTTTGTCTCTTCAAGATAAACTGAATTCTAGTCACTACAATGCAGTGACTTTGGCTACCAGACTGCAATTGTTTCCAGGCAGGCATTTATAGCATTGCAATGTAGTTGTTCTACCTTCAGGGTAGAATCAATGTAGGGCAGTTTTAACTCTGCTGTGCTTGTTACTCATTGAATATGGGGATGAATTTATTACAGCAGGACTCCTTTAATCCTAAACATTAGGAATCTATAGTGTCTGCTACCTTCACTGATTTTATTTTTTGCATTTTACTGGCAAATTAATAATATTGCAAGGTCACAATTATTTAGGACTTTCAGACATCTAAAACAGGATAAATGCCTTCAGGTCTATTGGTTTTTAGCTACATTATTTTGGCAATAAACTGTACAAGCCTCCACACTCAGTAGCCCCAAGTGTTTGGCATTTCTTAATTAATTTGTAACAAGGGTTTTTAGTTTATCCAAGAACTTTATTATGTGAAGCATATTTTCATTCAGACAGGAAATGGTCTCATTTAACTTTATGTTGAGCAGAAATAGCTTCCACAGCACTCACAGACTTATCCTCAGATTGAAGGATTCAAAAGGAGATATGGAAATATGAGGTCAATGGGGCTTGCCTGCTGAGGATATACTTTAGTTATCCTCATAGCTGTGTGACTTCAGAATTTGTGCTTACAGAATATAGAAATATTACAGAATGGTTTTAAGGATATTATCAAGGAAGATTTAGTAAAGTAGCTCACAAAAAGGCTTATGTAGGTGATCCTTATTTGCCCACAGGAAGCTCTTTCACTGCAAGATCAAAGTCAGATGTAGGTGGGAGCTGGTAATGATAATTTTGATGATGGTTTTAGGGTTTGTTTCCCTCCTCCTTCAAATTATCTTCTCATTCAATTTAAAGGGGTGGAAAAATGATTTGCTATATCAGGTTACCTCAGTAACCTCAGTAGCAGGATTATCTAAGAAGAAAATAATTTTTATTAGTTAATATAAGAGTACATGAGAAAGATGCAGAAGTATGTGCCTCAGTACTGAAAAAGGACACGGAACATATCAAATAACACCATACTGGGACATCATCAAGATTTTAAACTTAACCGCTTAGTTTGAATCCATCCATACAGTGTGATCACCAGAAGATAAATTTGCTAAACACTAACAGAAGGCTAAAGGCAGTTGTTATACCAGTGTAATAACCAGGAGAGATGCATTGCCTATTAAAATATTGTAAGTGAGGTAGCTACGGGGGGAAAAAGACCCCAGCCTCTACATGCTTGTTAAAATGGATTAAACTAAGGGAGACCTCTATTTATTTGGTATGATTCAGCACAAATACACACCTAATTTAAGATTTGTGAAATCACCTCAGCTTTTTTAAATAGATGCATAGATTACCCCAAATGACTTCAAAAATAGTTGGAGTAATTTTTTTCAGTCAACCTGTTCTGAACCATTATTCTGCTCCTGTAAGTAGCTGTAACTTAAAACTTTAGAAAGTGTCTTTTATGAATGATTAAATTGTACTTTTGTTAGTATTCTGCCACAAATGTTGAAAATATTTGGGTGCATACTATATCTTACGCTTTATTTCACTTACCAGTATTAATAGGCACAATATGTCTTCTCAAGATTTTGCCCTTCAGCTGAGAAAGGAAACTTATTTTTCAGTGTCCCTTGGCCTTTTATTCAGCTGTCTGTTCTGTAAATATTTTGGCCACAGAAGATTTTGTTCATAGTCTATAGCAATGATAAAGCCAGTAGAATTAAGTACAATATAGAATTCAATGGTTTAAGGTTTTGACACTCCTTTTTAGTGATTACTAATACCTGTTGGTTAGATTAATGCATGTTGGACCTGTTCACAGGGTGTTCCCTGATGCCTAAATCTCATGGAACCAAAGGAATATTTTATTTAGGTAACAAAGGCTAC